TAGGGGGGCAATATACAAGTAGGGAGAGGGGAATCAAAGAACAAAGAAGATGGGAGAACAATTAGACAGGTATGAATGGGCTAAATGGGACAGAGGTAAAAAATGATGTAGGCACAGCTTTGGAACAACAGGGCTCTGGAATACAGAGACTGAGACATGAATGGAATGGAGAAAAGGGGAGAATAATGTTAAGATGCTTGGCTGTCTTTTGAATCATGGTTTTCCATGCAATATATTATAAAACAGACACTGGAAGGGGAGAGAAAGGAATAACCAGAAATTATCAACATGGAAAGCTTGTAAGCCCGTCTTCTGCCTATAACTGATTGGAATACCTAAAATGGGGCTACAATGTGTCCAGTGAGGGCGGTTTACTGAGGAGCCTCTGCATTACATGGGCGTATAGGTAGAAGCCCGAACCACACCCAGACCTTCAGAGACGGGAAATTTTCCACTTGAAAGGACAAGCAGACCAGCCGGGAGCAGCTAGAAAACCAGAAGATACTTCTTGAAAGAAAGACCTACAGGAAAAATACAAAACAATAAGGGCAGTCCGACTGTTACCACAAGAACATACAGGTTGCTTGCCCAGGAGACATCAAGGCAAGTGGTCGGGACCTCTCAGTGCAAATTCTCTTCCAAGACTAAGATGCAAGGGAAATATACACTTTGATTGACAACCACACACGTCACCCAGAAGGGGAAGTGACCGAAGAACATCAGTGAAGTGGCGAGCTAAGCCCTACATCGTTCAGCAAACTACTGTGAACCTGGGTGGAGACCTGGTTGGCCAGTTGCGAGGCAACACCTGGGGACTCATAGGCTCAGAGTCAATGACACAGCCAAAGAGGACTAGAGTGGAGAGCAGGGTGGCCAACCGATAAAAAGAGGGCAGACAGACGCAAGAACACCCACACTTGCAGATGATACCCATTTGACCTGGCTTCAATGACTGGATAAACAGAGCTCAACCTGAAGAAGAAAGAAGAGGAAAAAAGCGTCATCTGATACAATTCAATAAATATGACCTACACCTATGAATGCAGTAGCTCAAAAGAGGAAACAAATCCCTGCTGCAAGAACTATTCCCACCCCCTCCACACAAAGGGTAGACAGGGATGGGCAACTTGGACATTGGCTACCCAAAATGGGGTGAGGAATACAAAGTTAAGAAGTGACTAGCTTACAAGCTTTCAAGAGGGAACCTAGATCCAAAGGGCGTGGAGGAAGGTAGAGTCTCCAGTGAATAGTATCCAGCCTGTCCAGGAAGGGCTGATGAAACAAAATACAGATGGGTCTCTTGTGATGCAAGGGTGAATAATTGTTATCAGGACTGATTGTGAGGGTTGGAAATCTAAAGGTGGACATTTTTAGCAAGGAGGGGAGTGATTAATTTTTCAGTCTAGGAGTGGAGGACCCTAGGACCATCAATGGAGAAAAGCGGAGAGCGGGATCCTACCCAGAGAAGCGGTGAGGCCTGAGATGGAGGCAGAGAAGACGGCATCAAGAGATGGTGTGGCTGGGGACTCGGGATCAGGAGATGGAAAGGGGCTGAGGACTGTGGTGGGGGTGGGGGATGGGGGTTGTGCAGGCTTACAGGGTACACCCTTTGGTTGGGTAAGGATGCATGGATGGGATGGTAACTATGCCAATGAAATGATAGATGATGGAATGAATGTAAAGCTAATGTTCTCCCATGTAGACTATCACACAATTCACAATAAAACATTAAAAACAATGGCATAGTTTTCAGAATTATAACAATTCACAAGCCACCACAGTATGACAAACTGACAGACAAGTTTGATTTTTAGCAGTGAGAAATCTCTCATCCTTATCTTTTTTCTAATGTACAGAACATGCCTTTTTTCTTTAGCTTTTAAAAATCTTTTGTTTTTATAACTAATTTAGAGCAAATTGATTTAAGATGTGCCTTGGTGGTGTTTTCTTTAATTTCTCATGCTTGGAGATTTTTTTTGGCTCTGCGGCTTTATAGTTTTTATGACATTCGTAAAACTTTTTGCCATTATTTCTTCCAATGTTTTTTTCTCCTTTCCCCCCTCATTGCATCTTCTTTGGAGAATGCTATTACATGTATCTGTGTTGCTTGATGCTGTTCTTCAGTTCAATTCATCCTTTGTATTTTCTTTTGTATAATTTCTGTTGCTGTCTTCAAGTTCACTAACCTTTCCTTCTAGTGTGTCTAGTCTGCCGCTAATCCCATCAAGATTTCATCTTAACCATTGTGGTTTTCATATCAAAAACTTCAGTTTGTTTATTTTTGTGTCTTCCATGTCACTATATAACATACTTGATCTTCATTCTGGCTTCGTAAAACTGTATTTTATAACGCACAGTTACAATGACTTCTGAAATTGACCTTGTCTAACTCTTTTTAATTACTGGGTCAGTTCTAGGTCAGTTTAATCAGTTGAATGTTGCCCTCATTCTGGGTATAGTTTTCTTTTTCTTTGTACATGTGGTAATTCTTGAATTTTACTTTGTTGAGTGAGTAATGTGTTTGTATTTCTGTCAGTATTGAGTTTTGTTGTGGGATTCAGTTTAGTTAGAAATAATTCCTTTCAGGTTTTGCTTTTAGGTTTTTAAGATGGGACCAAAGTTGTGTTTAGTCTAGGAGTAATTAAGTACCACTTCTGAACCAGGACTCAATACTGAGTACGTCACTCCCTGACCTGTGAATTACGAGGACTTTTCGCTCTTAGTTGGTGGGAATGGTCACTACTCCTGACCCTGAGTGAACTGTGCTTATTGTCCCCTGTGATCCATGGTGCTGGTTTGTTTGCCTGCCTTGAGTAGTTTTCTCACATGTATGCACTGATCAGGAATCTACATCTCTAGAGTTTTCTCTATACATCTCTCCCCACTCCAGTGTTCTGCTCTGCTAACTCTAGTTGCCTAAGTTTTTGTAGAGTAGCTCCATTTCTTTAGCACAGGCAGTCTGTTTGGTTCCCCCTCTCTGCACCAGAGGATAGATGCAGATCAGGGTGACAGGGTGCTCTGAGAACAGGTTTTCAAGGCTTTTGAATCACACTTGGCCGAGCCAGGATTTATCCTATAAAATATGTTGAAGTGTACTTTAGGAAGCTGCAGATGATATTAATTAACCGGCCCTTGCTGAGTATGCTAAGTGGTGAGAGATGATGAGTAGGGGATGTTTGATTTTCTGCTTCTGTCTTGATAGTAATCCATGTTGTTGTTATGTGTTGTGGAGCTGGTTCTGACTCACAGCGAACCTGTACAGGGTTTCCGAGGCCATAAATCTTTACGGGAGCAGAAAGCCTCATCTTTCTCCTGCAGAACAGCTGGTAGTTTCGAACTGCTTGTGAGATTAGCAGCCCGATTCATAACCGCTGCGCTACGAGAGCTCCTTAGATCATTGATAAATTTGCACTTCTGTGCCTGTTTCCTCACCAGTAAATGGACTGGAGATGTATGTGTTTCTCCAGAAAGTTTCTGTGGTAACAAAGTGACAGCCTGGCACAGATTTGACTTTTCACTTCAAACTGATTTTCTGTAGAGAAGAAGAACAGGAAGCCAGGTATTAAATTTTCAGAAGATTGACTAAGGTAACGGTAAAGCAGAGTTAGGACCTAGGTAGTCAGTCCCTGCTTCTCCAAATGTGATGCCTGGGCTAGCAGCCCTGGGTCACCAGTAGCTTCTTAGAAAAGCAGACTTGGAGACTTTATCCCAGAAGTACTATTACGGGGCTTGGGGGTGGGGAGGCTTGTAGGATATACCCTTTGGTTGGTTGATGATGCATGGAGGGGATTGTAACCATGGCAATGAAGCAATATACGATAGGATGAATGTAAAGCTAATAAAGCTAATGTCCTCCCATGTAAACTATCAAATAATTCACAGTAAAACATTTAAAAAATGTTAATAGTAGGAAAATGTGTGTAAGGGGTATGTGGAGTTCTTTGTACTATTTTTGCAATTTTTCTTGTAAATCAAAGTAAAATATTTAAAAAAAAAAAAAAAAAAAAAAAGGTGCTATTAGATAGAGTCTGCTTTGTAACAAGAGCCCCAGATGACTCACATTTTCTTTCGTTTGACAAGCGCTGTTCTGATTGTGGACATATGCCCTCTAGTGGTTGCCCATCGTCTTACACCACTCCTGAAGGAGTTTTTAAAATGTCTTCTCATTTTAGAACCTTTGCACAAAACTGCCGAAACATTGAACATTTAAACCTCAATGGATGTACAAAAATCACTGACAGGTAAGCAGTGTGGATGTGTTTAGAGACTAAATGACGTGGGGAGAGTGAGGGGAAAGAAACATGGTTGAAAATATCTTTAGTCTGTCTGGTCTTTTACAGCACGTGTTATAGCCTTAGCAGATTCTGTTCCAAGCTGAAACATCTGGATCTGACCTCCTGTGTGTCCATTACAAACAGCTCCTTAAAGGGGATCAGGTGAGAGTGATGTGAATACTCTGGTGTGTTTGGATCTTCCCTAACGCTCCCATTGGATCAGGAAATAATAGGCCTACAGATGGTTTTCATCCTGAATTAACTTGTGTTAAATGAAATTCAAAGCCAGTAGTTTTGGTAATTTGGATTTTTGTTGTTCGTTCTTTCAGTGAGGGCTGCCGAAACCTGGAGTACCTGAATCTCTCTTGGTGTGATCAGATCACGAAGGATGGGATCGAGGCACTGGTGCGAGGTTGTCGAGGCCTGAAAGCGCTGCTCCTCAGGGGCTGCACTCAGGTACCAGGGGTGACACAACCGTGTTCATCCTATGGGCTGGGTGTACGGACTTTATCAGAGAATTCGTTGTTGGTGTTCTTCTTGGTGCCCCATTTCCCTCACCTGGATTTCACTCTTCTTTTGTTTGCTGTACCCACTTAGTTAGAAGACGAAGCTCTGAAACACATTCAGAATTACTGCCATGAGCTTGTGAGCCTCAACTTACAGTCCTGCTCAGTAAGTAGCATGCTTTCCTCTGAGCACCATCCTGCTCCATGTTCTCTCCCTCAGGAACCTGCTACGGGCACCACTGTGACCCCCCAAGCAGGTGAGATGCTTGGCAGTGGCCACACTGACTACACCCTATGTCTCATTCTGTGCCTTTATACTAGCTGTTAATTTGCTGCAAGATGAAGGAACAAGGACAAAAGGCATTACACTTGGTTCAAAGCCTCTTACATTTCTCCGAAAAAATAATGTGGATTGGAGTCTTGGTGTTTTTTAAAAAGATAGGTTGTGATGTTGTCACTAGCTACTTACAAGATTTGATGAATTCACTATAAGATCTCTTAGGCTTTTCTTTTTATTCCCCCCTTACGAATTGAAGAAATAACAGATGTGAAAATACTTTGAAAAATAAATGGTGTAGGCAAAACTAAAGAGCGTTAGCCGATGAGACTATTGTTAGGCGCCAGCAAGTGGGTACCGACTCAGTGATCCTGTGCACAACAGAACGAAATACTGCCTGGTCCTGGGCCAACCTCACAATTGTTGCAACGCTTCAGTCCATCGATGCTGCCACTTGGCCAATCCATCTCGTTGGGGGTCTTCCTCTTTTTCTCTCACCCTCCACCTTACCAAACACGATACCCTTCTCCAGCAACTGAACCCTCCTGACAATATGTCCGAAGTATGAGAGATGAAGTTTGGCCATCTTGGCCTCCAAGGAGCACTCTGGCTGCACTTTTCCCAACACAGATGTGTTTGTTTTTTTGGCAGCCCATAGTACTTTCAGTATTCTCCTCCGACAAATAATTCAAATGCATCTATACATATATTTATACATAAAATGTATATACTGTTGTTTTGTTTCTGCCATCACATTTTTGTTGTTAAGTGCCTTTGAGTCGATTTGGACTCATGGCGACCCTGTGTAGGGTTTCAAAGGAGTGGCTAGTGAGCTTGAGCCACCAACTTTGCAGTTCAAGCTGACCTTACAGTCCAGCATATTAACCCACAATGCCACACCATAACTCATGAATAATGTAGTGATTGGTTTAATTTTCTTATTTCCCAAAGCATGATGAGTTACATTTTATATGATAATATATTATTGTAATCATAAATGTTATGAATATATATATAATATACATTTATATATATCAAGAGTACTTTGGGACACCAATATAAGTACTGAACTGCTCATCGCAAGGTTGGTGGTTCAAACCCACTTGTCAGTCTTAGGAAAATCCTGAGTTGGAATTGACCAGACAACATTTAAACAGTAGCAACAATACCTAGATATCTAGAGGAAGCATTGATTTACAGAAATTGAGCCGAGACAGTATGCCACTTAACTAGGCAAGTTTTCATAAGATCTTAATGTCATCTGATTATTAACCTACCTTTATGAATTATTCCTTCAAAAACAAAAAATCAACCAACTACTCTGAAAGGGACCATATTAGAGGCTCTCAGATAAAGTGGGAGAAAATGTGGAACGAAACTCAACACTCAAAATTATTTTTTAAAAAAGATTGGGCTTTTACTGATGAGAAAGAGACTGAATGAAGATGAGCCTATGATCCTTGACCACCCTTGAGGTCTGGAAAGAAACTGACCCTCGTGGTCCAGTTTTCAGCCAAGCAGTAGATAGCTGTAAGGTATAAGGTATGCTTATCACGCAATGGTCAATTGTTCAAAATCAAAACAGCAACATTTTCTTTAGGGCAAAATTGAGACGGGATGGGGAGGAGGGTGGAATGGATGTAGCCACAGGGAGGAAGTGGGTTGACTGTTGTTGCTTGTAGAGGATTGCAGTCATTGAGATGAAACAAAGTGCATGACTTGTTGAATGATCTTACCTTGTCTATGAACTTTCACTCAATTCACAATAAAAATGTAAAATAGGAAGAAAAAAAATGAAAAATCAAATCTATATATCTATTTTGATGACCCTGGGAGGAAATTAACATTTAAACTATACCTTAATAATGTAAAAATAATTTTAAGGCCCCAAGATAACATCTCTGCTCCGTATCTCTCTTTATATTTGATTGCATTACTAGGAGGAATTGCTCTCCCTCCTTCCCCAGCACTGATGGTCTTTATTCCTGTGACATTTCTCCCCAGCACATTACTGATGAAGGTGTGGTGCAGATCTGCAGGGGATGCCACCGGTTGCAGGCTCTCTGTGTTTCTGGTTGCAGCAACCTCACTGACGCCGCTCTGACAGCCCTGGGTCTGAACTGCCCGAGACTTCAGTGAGTAAACCAGGCTTTTCACTTTACTGCTCAGAGCGTGGCTGGGCTGATCAGCAAGGCTTCCTACAGGGGGTGGCCTTGAAGGATGTGCAGGAGAGGAAAGGCTTGCCAGCAAGTGGAATAAGTGATGACGATGTAGTGGTTGTTGACTTTTGTTGGGAGTAAAATATCCACCACCAGTGGTGGTGGTGTGCCGTGGAATCAGTTCCAACTCATGGCAACCATAAAGATTTATAGCCTCGGAAACCTGTATAGGGTTTCCGAGGCTATAAATCTTCATGGGAGCAAAAAGCCTCATCTTTCTCCCACAGAATGGCTGGTAGTCTTGAACTGTTGACCTTGAGGTTTGCTGCCCACCTTGTAACCACTACACTACCAGAGCCCCTTAATTGCTTGATTACTTTCATGCGATTTACCCACTTGAATTGCCTCATCCTGTTTGGGCACCAGTGTGATCTGAAAGCTCTTGATGAGCTCATATCCAATTATCACCAGGTTCTCCTTTAAACCTACTACTAAGAGAGCAGTAGAGAAGAAGCCACAACTGCCTTCAAATTTATCATCTTCCCCTAGCAGGAAGGAAAAAAAAAAATGCTTTAATAAATGATGATTGATTTTCTGGTTCTCTGGCTACATTATCACATTGTTTTCAGTTCCAGTTGCCATGGAGTTGATTGTGATTCCTGGCTACCCCAGAGTAGAACTTTGCTCACTAGAGTTTCCAGGGCTTGAGTTTTCATAAGTGGATCACCAGGCCTTTCTTCAGAAGTGCCTCTGCAGGGATTAAAATCTCCAGGCTTTTAGTTAGTAGTGTGTTAACTTTTTGTACCACGCAGAGATGTCACATCTTCACTATGAATATTAAAACTTCATAATCTCCTGCTATTGTAGAGTTTGTCTGTTTCTTTCCTCAATTCTATTAAAGTTTGATTTATATATTTTGAGGCTCTTTCATTGGGAGCATAGATATTTATTATGGTTATGTATTCTTGTTTGAGTGACCCCTTAATCATGAGATAATGTCCTCCATTATCTCTTCGACTGGTTTCTGCCTTGAAGTTGATTTTATCAAAGACTAATACTGCCACTTCTGCTTGTTTTCAATTGCCATTGTTGTTGTTCTTATGTGCCGTGGAGTTGGTTCCAACTCATAGCGACCCTGTACAGGGTTTCCGAGGCTGTAAATCTTTACAGGAGCAGAAAGCCTCATCTTTCTCTCGTGGAACTGCTGACCTTGCGGTTCGCGGCCCGATGCATAACCACTATGCTACCACAGCTCCTTCGATTGCCATTAGCTGATATACTTTTTCCCTTCCTTTATTTTTAATCTGTGTTTGTGTATCTTGTAGATAGCACATAGAAGGATCCTGTTTTCTTATCCATTCTGCTACTCTTGTCTCTGTAATTATCAACAGGTATGAATTAATTGCAGTCGTTTTCTGTGTGTTTTTTTGTGATGCTCCTGGTTTCTTTGTTCTGCATCCTTTCCTGTGCTGAGTTCATGGTTATGGTGCTTTTTCTTGTCAATTTCTTCATCGGTTTAATGTTTTCAAGATCTTAATGGATTTTACTTTTTTTGATTTGATGTGAAGTGTGTGTTATTTTCTTTGAGGTTACCATGTAATGTATTAATTTCTTCCCCGTTTTAAAAGAGACAGTTTTATCTTGAAATCTACCTAATGTCCTCATCACCTGGAATTCTTTAACTATACTTTTCTCTCCCTTCACTTTGTAGTTGCTGTCATCATAGATTGACATCTCTGATTTCCCTATTTTTAGTCCTGTAGTTTTGTTTTACTCTGGAAACTTCCTTATCTGGATTGAATTGCCTTGTATGTTGATCTTTGGTTGTTATTGGCTGTTGTTGGTTCTCAGTCTAAAGGACTCCCTTTAGTATTTTTTATAAAGTTGACTTGCTTGTTACAGTCCTTTAATTTCAGTTTATCTGGAAATGTTCTAATTTTGCCGTCATTTTTGAGGGACAGCTTTGCTGGATATATGATTCTTGGTTGACAGTTTTTTTGGCCTGAGTTTTATGTATGTGATCTTGTCTTCATGGTTTCTATTGAGAAATCAGAGCTTAATCTTACTGATTTTCCTTTGTCGGTAACATTTCATTTTTCCCAAGCTGCTGTTAAGATTGATTCCTTGTCTTTGTTTTTGGAGAGTTTGATGATTATGTCTTTATTTTCTTTTGGGGTCTATCCTGCCATGGGTTCATTTAGCTTCTTAAAAACTTACCTTCTCTCTTTCATGATGGTCAGGGAAATTTTATTTCAGCAGCTCTTTAACTATCTGTTCTGTTCTTTTTTTGTCGCTTCCTGTTCTGAAACTCTGATCACCCGTAGTTACTCCTCTTCACATTGTCCCACATGAATCTTTGGCTCTCTTTGGATTTTTTTCATTGCTTACTAGTACTGAGAAATTTATCTTCAAGTTCAATAATTCTCACTTCCATTGATTCAGATCTACTCCTTTTAGATCTTTTATCTTGAAATCTACCTGATGTCCTCATCACCTGGAATTGTAGTTGGACAATTGTAAATGGACAGTGTATTGTCCCTTTCTGATATCTTAGTGCTAACATAGTGGATTTCTGTTTCCAGGTTTTATATTGTCTCCAATCCTGTATCTATTGTGTGTGATTGTTCCTGTAGTGCTTTTCTAACTTCTTCCTGGTTTTCCTCACCCTTTTTGTCAGTTTTGAGGTACCTAAATATCATTCTCCTGAACTCTTTTTCAGGTAGTTCCACTACCTCTTTTCCTCAAAAACATTTTCTAACTCTGCTTTGTGGTCTTTTGTCTGAGCTGCTCTGTCTTGTTTTTTATGTGAACAGAGATTGCTGCTTTTGAAGCATTGTAGTGGTGGTGTATTTGTATTGAATTGATGTCTGTATGTTGGTGTTTTCTGAGGCATTCACCAACTGTCTTCTGGTAGGTGTGATCAAGATATAAGTTTGTATTGTTCTGTGCTCACTATTTGTTCAGTACAGGATGGGTTAAACTGCCATAGGTTGCTGTTGATCCAGTGGATAGCAGCTGATGTTAACTCTAGCCCAGTTGGTGGGGCTCAAGAGGGTACAGCTGTGCATGAGCTGTATGGCCGCAGTTGCTCTCTCCTATTGGGTGAAGCAAAAAGAGAAAACAGTCCCACAAGGTTAGAAAGAATGCAAAAGCAAAAACAACAACAACAACAAAAAAAAACCCACAGCAAATAACAGTGGAAAAACACAAAATTAATCAAGAAGAAAAAAATGACTATTCTTTTTTTTATCCACCAATAGATGTAATACCTCTGCACCGTCTGCTGGTGTCTTGTCTAAAGAGCCACCCAGGAAATTTCCCGTTGTGCCTCTCTGACCCCCATAAACAACTAATATTCCCTGCCCCCCTTTCTCTACTTTAGACCTCCGTTGAACTGCTTCTCCTAGTGAGACCTAGCCCAGAGCAGACTTTACAGATTTGGAGCAGGACTGCCTGAATGGGGCTATTGCTCCCAACCTCGGAGTTCATGCAGTTCTGCCCATCTGGAAAGTGGAACCGTCCCTGGGTTGTAAAGTGGTAGAGGCTGGCCTCACCTCTGGTCATCAAGGCAATGCAAGGAACTAGAGGGAACAAGAAAAAAAAATAGTCGCTCCTTTGTCTCAGCATGTCATAGGCAGGCTTCTGCAACTTGAATGTGTTTCCTTGTCACTTAATCCGTTCACACATGTTCACACATGCTAAAATGGCGGTGGCATGTACCGTTGGTCCCAGCAAATCAGAAGCCACTTTGTGTCTTGCCATGTCGCTCAGCTCTCTCCTGGTAAGCACTCGATTGTCGTATTTATCCCTTTATCTGGAATTCAGAGTTCCGGGACGATTCTCTGAATGTGTCTTGTCCAGTTTTCTGTATCCTTGCTGCAGATGGTCCACGCAGCCTTTCTGCCTAGTCTGCCATCTTTCCCCCAAATATTAGAAGTTTAATAATAAAAACAAAACTAATAACACACAAAAATCCACTTCTGTTGACTGTAACTCATAACAGTCCAATAGGGCAGAGTGAAGGTGCCTCATAAGGCTCCCAAGACGGTGCTCTTCATAGAAGCACACTACCACATTTTTCTCCCATGAAGCAAACTAGTGAGTTCAAACCATGAACATTTTGTTTAGCAATCAAGTAACTTAACCATTGCACAACCAGGGTTCATCAATACTAGTAATAGTTAGCTTCGGCCATGCTTATGTATGTTAATAGCCTCATGTTAGATACTTGATAAGCATAATTTTTAAAAAATCTTCAGTGTGTGAGAGTTAAGCACTTCTATTCTCATCTGTCTTGCAGAGGACAAACTGAGACTTAAATAAAATCACGTAACTTGTCCTGGGACATATTCTGACTAAGAAGTGTAACTACATGCAAACCAGTAGAGTTTAACAACAGAGCTAATAAACTTAACCTGTATACTAGAGGTAGAAAAAAAATCCTTGTTCTCTTACTCTTTACTTACCAGTGACACTGATGTTTTCTCATATGTTTGCCAGTTACATAAAAATTTTTAGATAATATTTACATAACATAAAATAAACCATTTTCATTATAAATATACAATTCAGTGACTTTTAGTATAGGTACAATATTGTGTGAAAATCACTACTATGTAATTTTCATCACCCCAGAAAATTATTTCCCATTCCCCCTTTTCCCCAGTCCATATTGTTGTTGTTAGCTGTCATTGTGTGAGTTCCAACTCTTAGTGAGCCCACGGGCAACAGAACAAAGCGCTGCCCAATCCTGCACCATGCTCAAAGTCATCGTCATGTTTGAGCCCATTGTTGCAACTGGTGTGTTGATCCATCTTGTTGGGGTTCTTCTTTTTCAGTGACCCTCTACCAAGCATGATGTACTTCTCAAGGGACTGGTCCCTCCTGACAACATGTCCAAAGTACATATGATGAAGTGCTACCTTCCTCCCATTCCAAGGAGCATTCTGGCCATACTTCTTCCAAAACAGATTCAC